AGCAGACATCTTTCTTATCGTAACCTACATTACGGCACCCGAGTGCAACAAAGCGTTAACCTTGCGGCATTTTGTTTCACTGACACCTGAATGTTTAGTCTTCTATCTATATACTATTACTACAGCTGTCGAAAGCTACTACGCAGGTTTCGTCACTAGAAACTGACCAATCAGAATTTTCTCATCTAAATCTCCTCTTTCCTCTCTAAAACTTAAAAAGAACAATTTTTGACGTCAATTTATAGTTTTTGTACTGTAAAAAAAGCACTGAACGTTCTGTGTTCTTAGAGCACAGATAACACTACTGCAGTGTCACACATAAACAACATGGGCCGCACAGTTTCTGAAGACTAATGAAGGAGCATGTGACAGCTTATAAGGCTTCCATAGAATTCAACGGTGATCTTGAATGGAAATTAGACAGCACGATTTTTCATAAGATATGTGATTTTTAGGGAGCCCCAGATATAGACTGCTTTGCATCTAGAATAAATGCTATGGTCCGAGTGGGAAAGTTAATGCATGATACATGCTAGCCACTTCACTGTTGTTATGTACCTTTACATATACATATGAGATGAATGTCCTAAACTTATATAATTTAGAACGCTTAATTCAAGCGTGGGCTCGAAATAGGACATTACGTTTTAGACTTACTCAGTGGATAACGCGATTCAAAATTCCACGGTTCGTGTCAGATTTACGTGAAGTAGCGCAAAGAAAACCCAAGTCCACATAATGACCAGTTTAATGGTTTATTGGTTGACGATCTCTAACTACATGTTCTATACGTGAAGCCTCCAACTTCTAAGCCGTCTCCCATAGCTCTCTCTGATGGGATACACCACTCCTAGTGCTAAATAATTTTTTACTCAAAATAAGTGATAGGTGGCCGTTTTCTATGTTAAACTATTACTTCTGATTAGTTTAACATATTTGGATGATAAAAACTAGAAAAAACAACCTAATATCTGACTCAGGCCAATATGACCATGTGTCCCATCAGAGATGAAATTTTTTCTCCTTATGTTGACATAGGACAAAACACTTTGAAAAGTGCCCTGCGTGCTCAACCAGATCTCAGTTTAGCCCTCCCTCTGACAGATTACATATTCCGAATCAGCTTGAAAACTCGCTGGACATAAGGACGATACAGGATTTTTTTTGTCGGACTGAGATTTAACTTGTCAGGCATGTCTGATGGTCTAATCCCTTTAGTAAAGTCTGTAAGTGTCTGCGTCTTTTGCATAATGACACAAAAATTTTTTTTCTGAAGCATATGCCCGTGGTCATATTGCCTCCATGCCATGTTATTTCTGAATTAGAATTATGTGTGAGTATACTATCCATGTTCACAGTGAATTAGAAACAGATTTTTACTTAAAACTTACTCCATTCATTTGAGAAGTAAATGTTACTAAGGTTAAGTCCATGAGTGGGGTTTCAAAATATATCTTATTATTGATTTTTGAATGTTTATTATAAGTATTATTTATTGCTGCATGGCAAACATGCTAACATTGGAGGGGACATCCATTTCTTCAGAAGTCACTGTTTGATACACCACCAGTTTTTTTCTCCCAATTTCAGGAGAAAAAGGCAGTGCTTCAAAGAGTGGGAAATCTCTCCACTACCAAGGTTCACCTTTCCACAGAATTGTCAAAGATTTTATGATCCAATCTGGAGATTTTGTCAATGGTAAGTATATTTTTATGTACAGACACATTCACGGATAACACAATACGTGGAAAACTGTTTTATCTTTTGGCTTAAAACCAACAGAACTGATAAATATTCATGAAGCACAGGTCATGTTAACAAATCAGCATGATCAGGCCATATATCAAAAGTTATGCTGTCTATTCGCTTTTTTCAGCATATGTACAAAACTGATAACATAATAAGTGGAAAACTGCTTTTCCTTTTGGCTTGAAACTTACAGAACTGATGAATGTGCATAAAATACAGGTCAAGTTCCAAAATAGCGTGATTGGGCCATTTTTTTCAAAAGTTTTTTTTTTCAGCATATATGCAACAATGATAACATGTTAAATGGAAAACCGTTTTACTTTTCGCTTGAAATTTACAGAACTGATGCATATTTAAAAAATGGAAGTGGAGTTTGAAAATCAGCATGATCAGGCCATTTTTTCAAAAGTTATACTGTTATACTGTTGCATATATGCAACACAGGAATACCAATAGGCCTATAGTCTTGAAAATTGGGCTCCAAATATTATATCAGAAATGTCAAACTATCATGAAGTGACAATATATTTTTCAGTCAGCAAAAGAAAAGATGATTGTTATCTCTTACACCAAGTACTTGAGCAAAATGAAACATTTTGACAATTGTTCTAGGGAACAAGTAGTATTTGCCATGACACAAAACTCCTTGAGTTACAGTTTAAAGATTTATAAAAGCATCCTGACGTCATGTCTAATTTATCATGACTGAACCACTACAAAATTTATCGGAATGTGGTATAAAAATTAAAATAAAATGACCTGGAACATACATTACCTTTTATTTTTGGAACATACGTTACCATTTAGGGCTCTTTGCATAATGTAAAAGACATGGTAAAAATTAAAATTTGAATTTAAATTGAGACAAGCATTGATTTTTGTTCTATACACATTAATGTTTTAAAAAATTGAATACAACTTTGAATTCATTCAATTTTATTTTTTTTTGACATTTCAGCATGTGAAATGCACCTCTACATTGGGTTTGGGTGAAAAGTGTACTTTTGACATTTTTGTCATCTTAACAAAATTGTTACTTGATTATATGAAAAAGATGGTAAATCTGTTATCATGTATTGTGCAGGGATGGATCTAGGCAGCGCCATTAGCCCCTATTTTTAAAGAATGTCCCACAAGAACCACTTAACTGCGCCCACAATGTCCCCCTTAAATCAAGTGACATCAATTTAGCAAGTCGTGTCCAAATTATGTGTTCAAAAATTGACCTGATTTATGCTCTCGCCAATATTGTGTTTATAGAACAGCAAACACCATCTGACTCTCGCGCTTTCAGACACCCTGAATTTCTACCATGATTGGTTGAATTGAGCGTTTGACGTCATTCTTTGTTGTTATTGACCAATCAAAATGACAGTACCTCTCAAATCATCTAGCAGAGTGACATTGCTTGGAAAGTGCATCTCTTGACAGCATGGGGGACAGCCTAGAATCTGAGTTTGAAGAATTGCAAAAAGCAAAAAGAAAGTGAAAATTCCAACAAGAATAATTAAAAAAATATACCTGGATAGAGTTAGAAGATGGCAAGAAATTTTGCGCTGTTTGTAGGAAGGGTACTTTCAGAAATGCACTCACCAAGGGTGCGACTAATTTCAAAATGTCAACTCTCACAAGACATGCAGAATCACAATAAACAAGCCATAATCGCGAATGCAGTGAGCAATATGAGACACGTGTTGTAAAGGCAGTTGTCAAACAAAGACAGGCCCTGGTGGCTGCATTAAAAACCATATATTTTTGGCCAAGCAGAAATGCAAGAGTCCATTGCAGCTGTAATCAAATCAGACATTGATGCGACACTTAATGACGTGGATTTTATCAGTGTCGTGGTAGAGGAGTCTACTGACAAAACTGAGCACAAAACGCTCAATTTATGCCAGATGTGCATCAGAAGTAAACAAGGTCTCAGACTTATGCTTACTGTAAAGTACTGTTGTCAGAATGATACTTAAGCTCGGGAGCCACTGAGCCTCCGTTAAGTGGACTTTAAACAAACCGGAAGTATGAGTATTTTGAATTGGCCAAAATTTTAAGTATTTACAGGGTGTCAGAAACTGTGGGATATCTCAGCTTAGAAGGCACCCAAAGTATCAAAATATGTATTTTCATTTTAAGAAATAAATATTACATCTGACAGTATCTGCATTTAGTTGATGTACAACTGATTTTCACTCAAATCAAGAGTTTACTTGTTTTTTTTTCTGTACAGACACAGATGTGTCTGTACATATTGCCATCGCCTGCGTCTGTCGTCGCCGTCGTCGTTGCCGTGCACTTTCAGCGTTAACACGATAAGTGGAAGACAGTTTTACTTTTTGGCTTTATATTTATAGAGCTGATGAATATTCATAAAACGCAGGTCAAGTTCGAAAAATCAGCATGATTGGGCCATTATTGTAGAAGTTATGCTATTTTTTCACTTTTCAGCATATATGCAACACCGTTAACACATTTCAAGGAAAACCGATAGGCTTGTTGTCATGAAACTCACAGGAGTAATCAATCTTACTAAAACGCAGGTCAAGTTTCGAAAATAGGCATGTTTGGGCCACTATTTTAGTAGTTATGTTTTTTTTTCTTTTTTCAGCATATATGCAACACTGTTAACACAATACAAGAAAAATAGATAGGCCAATTGTCATTAAACTCACAGGAGTGGTCAATCTTACTAAAACGCAGGTTGAGTTTAAAAATCAGCATAATCAGGCCATTTTTTTAAAGAAATGCCGTTTTTTCACATTTCCTCAGATTCAATTCTTAGGCATGTTAACAGTCTCATAATTATGTACAGACACAGATGTATCTGTACATATTGCCATCACCTGCGTCTGTCATCGCCATCGCCGATGCCGATGCTGGCGCGGGGCACTTTCCTTGTAAACATGATTAGTGGAGGGCAGTTTTACTTTTGGGCTTTATATTTACAGAGCTGATGAATATTCATAAAACGCAGGTCAAGTTCGAAAATCAGCATGATCGGTCCATTATTGTAGAAGTCATGCTTTTTTTCACTTTTCAGCATATTTCACATATTGGCATTTTCAAGGTGTGACTTTGAAGTTCTACATGCTTGGAGACCCATGCTAGTCACATTTTCTGAAAATCCATGATACGTATATTTTATTATTAAAAATTGACGGTCATTATGCTGTTAACCAATACGTAATATTGCATCAGAATAGAAGAAAACAATTATGGGTGCTGCTGCCATTATGACCATTATGGGAAAACCATGTTACTTATAATTGCCAAATGTTCAAAAAAGAAATGCAGGACTAAAATGCAGCCTGGGTTGGAAAAGTAGTCTAATTGGCTTCTTTTTCTGGAAGTTAAACATTTTCAAAGTGTGAACTTGAACTCCCATGGGCCGAAAGCCTTATGCTTGTTACACATTTTACTTACATTGGTATTATCTGTTGAGCATAATTAAAATTTGATGTTGAATTTGCAGTTTAACATAATGTACTTTTGCATCAGAATTGACAGTAGCCTATTTTGTGCATAGTTATTTCCTGCTTTTTGTCTGTACATTTGAC